CCAAATTGACACCAGATTATGTAACTACCTCATGTTGCATGCCACCAAATTCACTCCCCACCCCTCGTGTTCCTCAGAGCATTTGCAGTCATTCTCCCGCATCCCCCCACCGTGGGTCAGTCCTCCCTCTTCTATCAGCCAACATGCCTTTGTGTTTCCCTAGACGTTTGCTCCCTTTCCCCTCTGATGCTTTGTCTTTCCATCTGTCTACCTTTTCCCTCTGAAAGGGCCGTCTGCATGCCTGGTGGAGGGGTTGGGGCGGGGAGGTTGTGGCTCATCATAGATTTACATGACAGCCACACACTAGACAACGTCCCCATACTCTTCCTTGGCCATCTGTTCCCAGCTTATGTGAAGCACCCTCTGGTCAAGTGACCTATGCAATACTTGCCTGGAGCAGGTAATATATGGTCCATTGGCACAGGCCAGGCTCTCTACCAGGCTGTCTGGCCCCCAGCCAGAAGACTGGATGTCCTACAAGCCTGACCTGGTGCTGTTCTGTGGCTTATTTCTAAACCACTGGTAGAAATTGTAAGTTTGTGCTTTACTAACTTCACTAAGCATACTGTCTTCCAGAGAAATCCACGTCTTGAGGTATTTCATGTTTTCTTCGCTATCTTGAAGGGATGCATAGTATTCCATTGTGTATATACACCAAAGTACTTTTGTGCAATATTCTACAGATGGGAATTTAGGCTGCTTCCAGGCTTTTGATATCATGAAGTGTGCTGCACTGAACATGGGGGACAGACATCTGTTCGTGATGTGTTTCTTATTCCTTTGAGTACATGCTCAATAATGGTATTGCTGGGTCATATGGTATTTCTATTGTCGTCTGTTTTAGGTATCGCCATACCGCCATCCACAGCGGCTGTAGGTATTTCCAAGTCCACCAGCAGTGGATACATGTTCCTATCTCAACACAGCATCTCATTATTTGTCTTCCCGTTTTTTGTTTAAGTTGCCTTCATTTATGTCTGTTATGTGGTATCTCTGGTGGTTGTGACTTGAATTTTCTGGATTCCTAGTGACCGGGAACATGTCATCAATTGCTTAGTAGCCATTCCAGTGTTATCCTTTGTGACTCACCTGTGCAGTTCCTTTGTCAACTTCTCAGAGGGTTACTGGTTGTTGCTCTTGGTGTACTTTTGTAAGCTACTGTCGAATTTAGCAATGAGTCCTGTGTCTATTATGTGGTTATAAAATATGTCCTCGCACTCAGTGGGCTTTCTTTTTGTTCTTCAAGGAAGTCATTAGATTGACACAAGTGTTTGGTTTTTAATCGGCCCCACTCATCCATGGAGGTTGTTTCATTTGTCACTTCTGAAAGCCCATGGATTCCCTGCACTAGGGCTCCGAGCTTTGTCCACATTTTCTCAGTGATGATCCCCATTGTTTTGGGTTTTACATCTAGGTCTTTGATCCACCTTGAATGATTTTTTGTGCATGGATTGCGATATGGATCTTGGCTCGTTTTTCTGCAGTGGATATCCACGTTATCCAGCACCATTTAATGAAGATGGCATCTGGTTCCCATTTAATGTTTTTGGGGTGCTTTGTTGAAATTCATTTGTCTGTGTGCAGATGGTCTTATTTCTGCGGTTTCTGTCCTGGGCTGTTTGTCTGTGAATCTGTCAGGTTACCAGTCCCAGGCTGTTTTGACAACTGTGGCTGTATCGGAGGTTTGAGGACAGGTAGTGAAAGGCCACCTAGCTTGTTCTTTTTTGAGGGCCTCTTTCCCTATCCTGGGCTTCTTGCCCCTCCATATGAAGTTGGTCATCAGTTTTTCCATTTCTTTGAAGAATGATGGTGGAATTTGGATCAGGGTTACCTTGAATTTCTACATTGCTTTAGGTAGTATTGGCATTTTCACAATACCGAGTCTTCCGCTTCACTAACATGGGATCATCATCCATTTGTGTAGATCCCTTTTGATTTCATGAAGTATGGTTCTGTAGTTTTCTCTGTATAGGTCTTTGGTTTTTGGGGTAGGCTGATTCCCAGGTGGTTCAGGTTTTGCATGGCTATTTTGGTATAGTTATAACATTCACATAGGATATGAGAGGAAGTCTCCCCCTTCTCGTTGATGAGGAGCATTCGGTTGTCCTTCTTCAATTACTTATTGTTCTTCTGAAAGTTTATGGTGTAATTCATAAGGCATCGATTGTTTCTTGGTCTACCTTATTTATTGTACAGCTTTTCCAAGCATATATGGTGATAGAAAACACCATGGTCTGAGTCAGTCACTTTCGTCTTCAAAATGACATCTTTAAAGAAGTCTATTAGTCAGAGTAGAGTAGAGAAACACATGCAGGACACTTAAATATATGTAAGAGAGAGCGCTTCATATCAAAGAGTAAATGGATATCCAGAAAGCATTCCAACCCTGTCCTGTTTAAGCCCGTAAGTCTGGAATTAACCCATATGTCTGATACTGATCTATAAAGTCCTCTTCAGACTCACAAACGCATGCAATGACACCGAATGCAGGAAAATCACAGGCCAGGGGGTTGGGAGTCTTCTGGATCCAGTGGCGGTGTAAGCATCTCAACACATGCAGGGTTCTCTATGGGGCTTCTCCAGTTTCAGAGGTTTGGTTGAATCAGGGTGGGCCCATGTGGCTTCTCCAGCTCAGGACACTAGTGGAGTTCCAGGTGTCTTGTCAGCTGCTATGTCTCTCAGGGAGAGATGAGAGAGCGAGTGTGTTTTCCACCTTCAAGGAGGAAATATAGGAGTTCCCAGAATTCTCAGGAGAAGGCCACACAGACCTCATTGGCTATGACCCGATTGACGGACTAGACTCTACCCCTTTGGTCTTAATACTCTCAAGTTCCAAACTGACACCAGATTATGTAACTCCCACAAAGTCTTTGGTAAGAGATTTATTTACTTCTTAATATTTTTGCTTGTACCTCTTTTCCCTGGTATACAGGAATCCTATTGATTTCATCTTGCTAATTCAGTATGTTGCTAATTTGTCAAGTCCCTCGGTTGTTTCCAGTAGGGTTTGGGGGAGACTTTTGGGTTTTCTGTATATAGGATCATGTTCTCTGAGAATAACAAACATTTTACTTCTTCTTTGCCTACTTGCATTCCCTTGATTTCTTACTGTTGTCTGATGGCTTCACCTAAGACTTGCAGTGCAATGTTGAATAAACATGAGGATAGGGGACATCCTTGTATGGTCCCTGTTTTCAATGCATATGTTTCTAGTTTTTGTCCAATTGAGGTTAGTGTTGATTGGTGTTTTGTAGTGTGTGACTACTATTCTGGTGAGGAATTTTCCTTCTATTACTATTTTGTTGTCTTTTTTAAATAAAAAATAAGAGTTGGGTATACATTTTTAAATGAT